TGCACTCAGCACCTATACGAACCTTAATATATTCACTCAAAATGTTACTGTTTTTGTAAATCCTGCTTTGGCACTTCTTAGAGCTTCACCATTATCACACAATGTGTAAGTCGTGGCTTTGCCTTATTTTATTTGACCTTATTCGAATGGCAACTGCCCTTTCAGTTCACTTAAAATCCTCGGAATTTGAGGCTTTCTATCGATGTAAATCAATGGCGAAATACAAGCGTGAATAAGACCTATTATCGAAGAAAGGGCGTAAGATAAATCCACCTCTCCGACAATACAAAAGTGGTACAAATGTTCTTACCGCAAGAAAACTAGTTTGCATATATAACTAGTTCGTGCGAGTTAAATCAATACGTTTCATAACATATGGTTAATTCGAGAAAAAAAAAGAAAAAGTTGTCGTGTTCAAAGCGAGTAGCATTAGGAGGTCAAACTTCGCACAACGCCAACGCGATGTTTGAACGATTTTCAACCGGGAAGATAAATCTTCAAACGAAGGCAAATTTACGTTTGTCACTTCTCTCCATCTTAAATAGGCAATTAATAAGAAATGCCCTTTAGAAGCGAAATGTTTAAGTACAGAAATTTAGGATTAGGCTATCGAAGATGAGATTGGTACTCACTCCGCTGAATAACTGTGTCAAATGGTGAGAATCTGAGCACGGACCAAAACACGCAGTTTGCAATCGTGGAGAGGCAAGTAACTTCTGCTTTGAGCCCACGCTCACTATTTTTAACACTCACCCCGAGGGGCACTCTCTTGATAAATCTCGCAACCAGAGGGTTAGACTCGTGCAAACATGGCCCTATCTTAACATTGGTGGATTGGGGAATTTGAGACAGTCATGCAAAATCGAGGCGAAGTGGAGGATTGATGTAACTTTAAGGGTTACATGACATAATCTAAATAACAGTCGTCATTTTAAATTTAGCAGAATGCAAATTAGTAAGTCTGAAATTAACAATCTCTCTCATAGTGTTTTGTGTCCCAAGAAAAAGGCCTCGAGGACATGGAGTTGACGGATCCTTTCAGAATTTCGAACTCCAAATTAATTTCTTGTAAGCTGGAAAAATGTCAAAAGTAAAAGGAAGGGGGGACAAATCAAGAGAGTCGAGTACAAAACATTCATGTGTGCAGCTATGAAACGAAATGGAACGGAAGGTGTAAAAACATATTAAGGACTTCTGCACGAACTCATGAATTGGAAACAAAAGGCCAAATTTTGTACCTTTCGAGGTGTCTACTGTCATTTTG